TATGGACGCTTGCGTGCTCTCACTGTGAAAATCACAGTGAGAAGCACGCAAGCGCCTCTAGTGGCTGTCAATGAGACAGCCACTAGAGGAAATAGGGGAAGGCTTAACCCATTCATAAACATAGCAGTTTCTCTGAAACTGCTATGTTTATGAAAAAATGGGTTAACCCTAGCTGGACCTGGCACCCAGACCACTTCATTAAGCTGAAGTGGTCTGGGTGCCTAGAGTGGTCCTTTAAGTTTATGTGGGCAGCAAAAAAAAACAACTTAAATTTTCATAGAAACATAGGTTTATTTTGAAATGTTCAGTATAAAAAAAAAACAGCATCCCCTCTACTAAACCACAGCACCCCCATATACCAAATCCCAGCCCTCCCCCCCCCACTAAATCCCAGCACTTCACTCACATTGCCACTGCCAGAATGCGACTCCAGAGCCTGGCCTCTGGTGTATCCCAAATGGCGCCGCCTGCACCCTGTGCCAAAGTGGATCCTCCCACTACTTCTTGACACCCTGTGAAGGTGGAGCACGTCAACGTCACGTTGGAATGTGAAGTGGCGTTGTGTGCCTCCGCACACCTCCAGGTCCTTCACTGTCCAGCCACGGCCATTGCAACACTGACCGACACACACTCACTGACAGACACACACTCACTCACTGACAGACACACACACACACTCACTGACAGACACACACTCACTCACAGACAGACACACACACACACTCACTGACAGACACACACACACACTGACACACTCACTGACAGACACACACTCACTGACAGACAGACACACTCACTCACTGACAGGCCTCTCGAGCGGTGATGTAGAATGTCTTAATAACTTGGTATCTCTACTTGAAGAAAATGAAAGTCAACCATCCTTTAAATACACAGAAGTCAAACCAAAAAGCCATTTCATACCAAACTTTTCTACTTTCAGAAACATTGATTTGTTTCTGGAAGCAGTCAAAAATGAGATTGACTGCATAGAAGTTAAAAACCTGGACTTGTTTCCTAATGAGAACCTCTCTGGTAAGGAACAGGAAGCTTTAAAATCTTTAAGGGATAATAAGATGATAATTATCAAACAAGCAGATAAGGGAGGCAATGTTGTGGTGATGGATACTTCTAAATATGAAAAAATGGTTCAGGATGTTCTTAGTAATAAAGACACCTATAGGATTTTAGAATCAGATCCCACCAATGCCTTCCTCAATAGCTATAAAGAGATTTTGGACGGGGGTCGAAGTGAAGGTTTGCTATCCGATGAGGAATACACCTTCTACTGCCTCCCGAAAGTCCATAAAAATCTTCAAGATCCACCAGGTCGCCCCATAGTTTCTGGGATTGATAGTTTGACTCAGAACGGTAGCCTTTACATCGACCAGATTCTGAGACCATTTGTGGAACGTCTACCTTCGTATATTAGAGATACGAAACAGGTTCTACATTTCCTCTCAAATCTCCAAATTCCGCCCACATCCAACCTCTGTAGCCTAGACGTGGAAATGCTGTAGTCATCTATCCCACATCAATAGGGAACTGAACATACTAAATATTTCTTAACAAAAAGGGGCCCAGACTATCAGGCACATACTGACTTCGTTACAAACTTGTTGAACTTTATTTTGTTACATCATTTTTTCCTGTTCAATAAAAAATTCTACCACCAGGTGAGAGGGACGGCGATGGGCACAGCTTGTGCACCATCATATGCCAACCTCCACCTGGGGTGGTGGGAAGAACATATTAGGACATCCAGCACACTGTCTCCGTTCCTATCAAAGATTACAGCTTGGTACAGGTACATCGACGATGTCCTGATCGTCTAGCAAGGCAATATCGATGAATTTAACCTATTTGTCTCTCTTCTTAATGTAAATGAAGACAACCTCAGATTTACCGCCGAATTTGGCGGTTCATCTCTGAACTTTCTAAATTTGACAATTTCAATCTGTAAAGATGGCTCCCTTAAGACAACTTTATTCAGGAAACCATCTGCATCAAATTCCCTACTGAAATGGGATAGCCATCACCCAAGAGCCCTTAAACAAGGGATCCCGACGGGACAATATCTCAGATTGCGACGAAATTGTTCAGCTCTTGAAGAATTTCAGACTAAAGCCAATCGTCTGAGGCAACAATTCAAGGAGAAGGGATATCCGAATAAATGCCTCAAAAGGGCATACAAAAGGGCACTTATGACCAATAGGGCGGATCTCCTATCAGACTCCCATAACCCTAAAATCATTTCAAAAACCCCCATCAGGATGATAGGAACATTTGACACAGGCTGGAATAAAGTTAAAGAGTCCATGCAAAGATTTTGGCCCATTTTACTTAAGGATGTTCACCTAAAATAAGTATTAGGCCCATATGTTACAATTACAGCTCGAAGAGGCAAAAATCTACGTGACATCTTAGTTTCTAGCCATTTTTCGGTCAAACAAAGCCCCCAGCCTACATGGCTGGGGCTCCATATCCCCATAGGTACCTACAGCTGTGGAATGTGCGTAGCCTGTAGGTACATTCTAAGGGACTCAAAGAAAGTCAGTGACAGTGAAGGCAAGCAGTCTTTTCAAATCAGACATTTTTTTAATTGCAATTCTGAAGGTGTGATATATCTTTTCACCTGTAGTTGCAAATTGTTGTATGTGGGAAAGACGTTCCGGCCCTTTAAGGAACGCATCAAAGAACATGTGAGATGTACCAACAATCGTCTGGAGACTCCAATCTCCAGACATCTTAAAGAACACCATGGGGGATCCTCTAAAGATATACGCTTCTGTGGCCTAGAATTGGTCAAGCGGGAACAAAGAAGGGGTGATTTTGACAGAATTTTACGCCAAAAAGAATGCAGATGGATTTGTAAATTAAACACCTTAAACCCAAGAGGCCTTAATGAAGGCTTCTCCTTCTCTCCTTTCATTTGAACATGTATATAATACAATAATTTTGACTCAGTTTTCCCCTTTTTCCCCTTGTTTTCTTTTATTAATCTCCCTCTTTCCTATGTGGCTGTTATGTTTAATTATTCCTTAAATTTTGTCTATTGAATTTAGAACAAGTGATACATTTATGTAACATTTTTGGGGGGGTTGTTGTAATTTTTAGCAAATATGGCGAAATGGACCTTTGTACTGTACTGAATAATTTCATCTGTATATTCTCTTTAGGAATATTTTAGGTTATTTTGATCATACCTAATGATTCCTCCATATTTCAACAAAAGGACTTGGAGTTATACCTGTCTCCGTTTATGCTGTATAATTGGTTAAACATGTTAATTGGCCATGTACCGAGTTCGTTTTTATTACCTTTTTTTTTTCCCATGTCATTCAGATCAAAAGATATATATAGATATGGTACAAAGGCGTCTTTAATAATACCAAGTTGTAACAGTGATGTAACCACCTTTTGCTACATTATTTTGTAGCAATTACGAGGCACCATCTTTCTGTTTTGACTTGGTTGAGTGGTATGCTATCAGGCCCCTCCCTCCGTATTCCATTGCAGGGCATTTTATGAGAAGTCCTGAGATAACGGCAGGTTCACGTACTAAGCTAGTCCAGTATGGCTGAGTATTGGCGGATCCAGGGGGGGGCAATTGCAACCCCCGAGATTCCCCCCTGCCGGCTAACGCAGGGCTGGCATTGCCCAAGTGCCAGCCCTGCAATGTGCCTGCGGACCAGGGAGGAAGATCAGAGATCTCCCTCCCCGGTCCGCAGGCACTGTGCTGACAGCCGG